TCGCTCGTGACGCCACCGGGAAGGAATGCAACGTCGGCCGATTCTGATCTTGACCCGTTATCTTTCACGAAATCAGTCACCACTGTCATCATCTTTGTGTGTGATGTCAAAATCTCGTGTAAAATCGGCCGCAAGGGGTTATCTTGGCCACCATTTGCCACTGGGCGCGAATTCACGCCGCGCGCCTTGAGATGCTTACTCAGAACGACTACCGGGTTCGGCGACTTCAACTTGAACTTCTTCGCCACCTTCTTGAGAGACCAATGGTTGGGATCTGTCCTCGCCAACCCAGCGTTTTTCGTCACGTAGAACTTCCTTGAAGCGCTTAAGCGACGCAATTCACTGCGCCGCCGTCTACTTTTTCTCTTCTGCCCCACGAGCTCCCTTCCCGGTGCGACTCGTGGCCGTTGGATGTCATTCCCAGCGAGCCCCACGAGCGCAAGCGCAGCGAGACTACGTGAGCTCAACGTTCGTCAGTCTTCAGATCGTAAAACCGCCGCGTCGCGACGCACTCGCGGACGAACGATCGGAACCAAGGGCAACGAGAATCGCGCGCGAGACGTGAAATCTCTCGAGAACAACCGCACCCGTCGTTGTCACCGTCGTCGTCAGAATCGCCATCCGACGCTTGATCTGGACGAACGCGTAGGTCCACCATCGCGCACACCGCGTTTAACCCATTCCGAGCCCCGCGCGCGTCGCCACGTGCCGCCGCGTCGTCGTTAAGTATAATCAGGTTCGGGTCAAAAGTCTAACCGTGACACCCGAACGGACGTAACTTTGCGAGTACAGCACCGAATCGAGCAAACTCAAGTGCGTTGGATAGACCTTTAAAAGACGCATCGCACACAAATGAAAAGAAGCCTAAAGATCAAAAGGCGACGAAACGACGAGAATATATACTTAAGGAGACCGAAGTCGCATATTTAATTTTAACCTATACCAGGAAATTCCTGGGTACGCATTTCAAGCAGTCCGCGCGGCACGTGCGGACGCGTCGCGCGGCCGCGGGGCGCTCGGACTTGGCCGCGATGGTCGTAAACCACGTCAAGCGAATCCGTACAGCACGTAGGTCTCGGCGGGTCGGCATTTTCGCCTGTACGATCGCGACGCTTCCTCTGTTTTTCTTTGCACTTGGCACAACCGATCTACGCGAGACAGCGCAGGTGTACACGGGAAAGTCCGCTAACGAGCCTATGACCGCGACGGCTTGTTCTCAGGCCGTGGATGATGCGTTTCCGCGCATATGGAATCGCAAGAAGAACACGCACGCACAGTACGTGCGTGGAAGGAATGCTAAGAACTCTAAGATCAACTTTACCAACGTCGCGGCAAAGAAAGCTTACGACTACTTTGAACCAGAATGGACATGTGAAGATGAGGTTCGCCTGGGTCTAGACGTAGTGAGCTCGGGCGACGGTCCGAAATTTGTGTGTGGTTCGGATGTTCTTGCATCGACGAAGGAGTGTATCGTATACTCAATAGGCAGCAATTATGACTTTTCGTTTGAGTACGCCGTGAACAAGATTGCGCCACAATGCGAAATTCATACCTTTGATGGGACACTCAATTTGACTAAGCGCGCGCTTCCAGAAGGGCTGAAAGAAAAGAATATATATTTCCACAACTGGAACGTTGTTTCAGACTGTCGTTCAGAAGAGCTAGCGAAGTTAAATTCACCCTCGCGTTGTGTCTTTGATAGCCTTCAAAAGTTGAATCATCATGAAAGCACAACGATTACTTGGTTGAAGATCGACTGTGAAGGCTGTGAATTCACCGTCATCCCAAAGTTTGCTGAAAGTTCTGTCAAAATAGACCAAATAATGATTGAGGTGCACGGAACTAACGCCCTGAGGATTGAGAGCTTATTTAGTAGCTTACACAACGCCGGTATGATGATATTCCACAAAGAAAGGAACCATTGGGGATGTGACGGTTATATGTGCGTGGAGTACACTTTGATTACTGAAGAATATGCACAAAAAGTACTACAGACCTTCCTAAACACGAAGGATCGTTGGATATTTGATTTACACAAGCTCAGCACATCCAAAGGTCCAAAAAGCCAAGGAGCTCAAGATCAATACTTTGAACATATTTTTGCGAAGATCGGCACAACAAACCGATATTTTGTTGAGTTTGGGTTCAATCAACCGAGCTACACAAGCGGTGGCTCTGGAGCAAATACCTGGAATTTATATGACTCTGGCTGGAGAGGACTCTTGCTCGATGGAACACGCGAGAATGCAGAAATCAACCTGCACGCGCACTATCTTTTCGAAAAAAACATCGGGTCTATTCTCGATACGTACAACGTTCCGAAAGAATTAGACCTCCTCTCTTGCGATATGGACTCCCACGATATTTTTGTCTTACGGGGAATACTTAACGCGGGATATAGGCCTCGCGTCTTCACCACAGAGTATAACTCGAATTATCCTCTTGAATATGCCATCACATTGATAGACCCCACCATACTTGGCGTGGACGTATCAACGTACGACTTCACGTTCAAGGGATGCTCTTGGGGGGCCTCAGCCAGTGCATTTAGGCTCATTGCTGAGAAATTTGGCTACACACTTATTGGGCGAGTTTCATTCCTTGATCTTGTTTGGCTCCGTAATGATTTGATTGAAGACAACTGGGACGTTCCTCCTTTTGAGTGGTTTTTTCGGGACGCTCCCTTGGGTAAACTTCACCATTTCAAACAGACTTCCAATGAAATTTTTGACTATCTCGTTGATTTCAATGTACTGGAGAAAACCGGAAGCGTACAGGAAGCTAAGGAGGCTGCAGGCGCGAAACTGGGAAATTCAGGTTTGGCTTGTTTTAATGGTCTCTGATGAACAACACTTACGGCCCTTTTGAACGTTACATCAGAGACTTTGTTGTCGTCGTTATCGCGGTACAGTGATCGGATATCAGTAACCCCTCGAGACTAGAAAGGCCTTTAGGCCGGGGGGGAGATAGATTGTGAAACGATAATTTCACAGTATCGAGAACCCGTCCGAGCGCACAAGAGCACTTTACTTGTGTGTGATCCCTGTCCAACGCACAGTCTTCTAAAGTCTCTAAACCGGACACGTTGTGCACTTCTCCCGAGTAGTTGACTCTATGCGACACAGAGAACCGTGTGCCTTCATCGTCCGTTTCCTTCTCAACATGTTTTAAGTCATCGATCGTTTTCGCATCGTCTACGACATGAAACATGGCCTTCCTAACACGCGCAGGCGCCATGCTCGTCTCGGCTTGACAGACCTTGTCACAATATCTACAGCGTCACTTCTGTTGGTGGCGGAATACGCACGAACGCGTTATTAACGGCTTCTATGAACGTCTCCGCGTTCGCGCTCGTCGAAGTCCACACCCTCACTCGGGCTGTCCCTTGCATTCAAAAGAATTTCACCATTGCTCGTTCCCGCGTCGAGTGGCGTCGCGGTTCATTGGCCTTACGAAAAGAAGCGCACTGGACAGAGATGGCTATCAGCGGTGATTCCTGCAGACAGATTGGATGACTTCCGCCGCGGGATCCAGTGCGACGCGAACACAGAGTTCTTCAGGTATGCTGTGCGTAAGAACGGATCCGGAGTTGGAGCCATGTACGCTCATAAAGTTATTTGGCACTGCACGTGTGGGTCAGAGAGTAAAACGGTCGATGTGGACCAAAAGTTTGCTGAGCTTACAGAAGGTATGCGCCGAAGAGTTTCACGGAAGGTTGGGCGCACGTGCATGTTTGAGACGCATGTCTTTGCAAAGGCTTTCAAGTGGGCGGAATGTAAGGCGAATAAATTGATCGACATGGAGTTGGTGAGATTAAAGTGGCCGCTCACCGATGACGGCAACCCGATTTGGCACCAGAATCATGATGTAGTTCCGTCGTGGCCAGCCTCGAGCGAGGCGAAGAGGAAGCTAGCTGAGATGAGGATGGAAAGACTCGGCTCTTTCCTATCTTCAAAGGGCTCTAAATATGGAGAATGATAGTAAAGGCAAACACGTGTCGCGCGAGCAGGACAAGATCATTTGGATAACGAATGAGTCCTGATCGGAGAGTAGTAAAGGGACCACAAGATGGACGATTCAGGAATCGTCCTGTGACCCTTTGATCCAAGCGTCGCGGTCGACAAGTAGTCGACAAGCAACGCGCACGCCTTGGCAATCCGCGCGCCCGCGTAGCCCAGTTGCTATCGCTCTCGTAGTCGATTGTGATAGTCCAAAAGAACGTATAAGTATTACACACAGGAGTAATCGAGCGGCGTCTGTGCAGGCGCGCCGCGGGCTGGTCGAATACTTTTAAGAGGTACCGGAATAGGGGTCAAGGCCGACCCCCGGGACTGAGCATTTTGACAAGGACAGCCGCCTATCGATCACGTACTCGATCGTTTTGCCCCTCCGATTTGGACTACTCCCGTTGGCCTTATCATGGCTGTATTTCCTCGACATCGGTGACGACATGTCGTAGTATCAGTAACGTGATTAGTATCAGTGAGGTATACCTGTCAATATCAGCAAACGATAGGCTTTACATGCCCTCGATATGAAATCACGATCTGAATCACGACATCGTGATGCGCACCACGACCCATGCATCGTGATTTTGCCAACCTACCGGTAGTACAGATTGGGCTATCTCGTCAGATGGTGACCCGCAGAGCCTTGACTTGTTTCAGGTGCTTTTCGTCATCGTTTGCGTTAGATCTCCGCGCGTATCGACGCCATGAGTACTTTTTTCAGAAAGACTTTACCGCTGTTCTTTCTTTACTTCGTCTCTTCTTCCTCACTGCTCGTTTTGAACAAGGTGGCCATCAAGGCTATTCCAAACGCTTCTTTGCTACTATTTACTCAGCTCGGCAGTACGGTCGTGATCGTCGCGGCACCTGCCCTCGTTGGAAAGGCTCGCATCAATTTCAAACCGGAGGGAAGAGTCGCACGAGCCTACAGCACGGTCGCCGTGGTGTTTTTAGCGACCATCTATAGTAACTTTCAAGTGATTCACTCGATCGGGGTCAACCCGTTCATTGTGCTGCGGTGCTCGACGCCGTTGATGGTGTCCGTTCTCGACTGGGCATTCATGGATCGCACTCTACCAGACTGGAAATCGGCGCTCGCTTTGAGCGGTATTCTTTCTTCCGGCTTGATGTACGCGAGGTTGAAAGTTGCCGATCCCGGCTTTGGCGTAAAGGGAAACGTGAATAATGGATTGTGGTGGTCCGCGATCTGGTTGGTATCCTTTCTGCTGGACATGGTGTACATCAAATACGTAGTCGAGGCGTATCCGTGTTCTGGTGCAGAGCGAACTCTTTATCAAAACTTTCTCGCCTTGCCGATTTTGGCTGTACTTTTGAACGTCGGCGTTGAAAAACATAGCGCGTTTGAAGCGGTGAACGCACCCCAAAGCGCATGGTTAGCCGTATTGATGACGTGCTTCGCAGGTACGGCGCTGAGCTTTACTGGTATGTCGCTGAGAACGGAGTTGAGCGCAACTTTGTTTACAGTCCTTGGCATAGTGTGTAAGATGATGTCAAGTTTGCTGAATGAAATATTTGTGGAGCCGGAGCGAGATCTAGCGCGTCTTTCGTGCATCGCCGCCGTGATCATAAGCAGCTCGTTCTACAAACAGGCGCCTTTGAGGTAGAAGCGACGTAACGCACACGTAGAGTCTAGACTCGGCGCGGCAGCAGCACACGGACTACATGTGAGCTATGTGACAAAAGTTTTCTGATATCAAACAGAGGGAAGATGAAGTCAAGTTCGACTCCGCATTTTCAACTTTACGAGTCTCCTTTGAAGTAGGTTGTGGAAGTCCCGAGTTCGAAGACCGACCATGGACGTTCCGCTGCATCGTGATATTTGAACGTCGAGCTGCTGTCTTGTCTAGTTTGGATAGACAAAGAAATTTCGGGTGGGCTGAATTTCTAGGGTAGCAAAAAACCCAAAATATTAGTACATATGCGTGTGCATTTTCCGTGCATTTTCCGTGCGCCCGAAATTTTCGGAAAAAATTATATCCTACCGTAGATCCGGCAATAGAGGGTGAAAAAATGATACACCTGATTTCGTCGGGTCGTCGACGCGCGTCTCCTTCATAGTTTGCAAACATGAATGTCGCGTTCGAAAGGTCAAAACGTCTTCTCACGGAATCCCGACGTTCGACGTATTTCGTTCGCGCGTTCGTCCGCTATGCTTCGTCAAAGTTCAATTTTTCTCCTTCTTGAAAAATGTTACTGCGACGCCACTTGTTGGAGTGAAGCTACGAGGTCAAAGATGTCCCCGCCCTGTTTTGCGTGGGCGGCTTTCAGGACCAGCACTAGTGATGTTAGAGTGGAAGCAAGTAGCGAGAGGAGGGGCGAGGAATCCCCCTCGACGATAACTTTTGTGATAAGTTTTTCATAAGTCCGCGCGCGATGCACCCGCGCCAATCACCCCGAACGCCCGTCGTCACAGCGCCTCCCGCCGACGACGAACCCAGTAACGCCGACGGGACAGTCGACGACGTTGCGTACGCTGACGAGAACGAAGTAGGCAGCCTGGCAACAGAGCCGCCGACAACGGGCAAGAAGAAGAGGGGTAGATCACCCAACTGGCTCGCGTGCGAGATCGTCGCCGCGTTTCTCGCTCGTCAGTACGCTTCACGCGACGGGGCCGCGTCGTCGAAGCGAGAGGTGAGACAGAACTCGGCCGCTCGCGTGTATCCGGCGATCTTACGCGCGCTCGATAGAGCGGGTCTATGCTCGTGTTCCTTGGAGAGTGGGAAGCTTCCTCAGAGCGCACAAGAGTCAGTGACGTCTCGAACAGACAAAACAGCGGAGGCAGCGATCTACCTGAAGGGTGACGCGCTGAAACAAGGACTGAGGATTCAAAGCGGGCGCACGAGCTGAGTATGTCGGCAAAGAGAAACATCCGACGCTTGTTTTCGGCGTGACTGTAGATCACCGCTATCGGATCATGCATGTGACGAGCGCGCACGCGGGCGCGACGAACGACAAATTTGTGATTCGTGGAGATGACTTTCACACTCGATTGATGCACACATCGTTGTTCAAGGACTTCACATACCATTTGTTGGATACGAGGGACGGTGTCCAGAAACGCGTCAAGGGATGCTACGTGCTCTGTGACGGTGGGTACGGCGATTGGCGTAACCTCGTTTCAGCGTATAGATGTGTCGCACCAGGCTCTTACAAGGCGAATTGGTCACATCGCGTTGGCTCAGTGAGGAAAGATTCAGAATGCACTCTTGGAATGTTGAAGGGTCGCTTTCGGATCTTATTCGGACGGCAATATAGGCACAACGCGACGGACGTCGAGCACGTGTTCAAAGTTTGTTGTCTACTACACAACATGCGCATGCGCGCGCGTGATGTCACTCCGTGGAGTGGACCTGATATGTTGCAACAGGCTCTTCAAGAGCACGCTTTGGACGACGACGATGATTTGGATCGTTTCAACGCGCGGGGCGAACCGGTGCGCAACAATGAACTTGAAGACAGCGTTATCGTCGACGGCGATGAAGCCGACGACGATGCGCGCGTGCGCTTTTTCGACGAGGGTGATGATGGAGATTTACATGAGCTCAGCGCCAAGGTTGCCATGCAGGACGCCCTAACGCGCCACTGGCGGTTCTATGCTGAACGTCACAGAGCCGAACACGACGGATACAACCCGTTCGTGTATAGAGCGTCGCTCAACGCCCAGCTTCGTCGGGACGCCGAGCAAGGCGGCCGATGAACGTGGCGCCATAAGCCTTGTCAATTACAACTTTGCACATGACTAGGCTATCACTTCTGCCTCACACGTTTGACGTGCTCAGATCGTCGGCTCGGTTCGCTCGCAACTGCGGGCGGTGCCGGATCAGGTGATTCGGCAGGCGGTGATGTCTGCATGTCAGTTGAAACTGGAGGTTCCAAGGATTGTTTCAGCGAAGAAAGGAGTTGTGCCTGCATGCTCTGCATGTGCTCCTGCATTTCAGCATGCATTTGCTCCTGCATTTCAGCGCGGAGTTTGTCACGTAAGTCTCGTTCGTAGTCCGCCGTATCACGTATTCCGTCTTGCTCATGGAGCACACGGCCTTCATTTTGTGCCGGCTGAGCACGCGTCATCTCTCTCCAACTCTCTTTCAACTCTCACAAATCCCATCAGCTCCTGTCGATCAGTCCTCACATCGTGCTCAGCAGCATCCGGTACCTGACCATACACCATGTCGTTTGCCGCGATTCTCAGTTGTCTCTTCTTGTGTTGTCTTAACTCTGCCTGCGTGGGCACCGTCTCTTGATCTAGCCTGTCAACGGGATTCAAAGCGAACGCTGTGTCGACGAAACTCCGCAGATCCAACTCCTCCGGCAAGTACGGACTCGACGGGCAGACGATTCTAAATGCCAATTGACACGATTCGATGCCCGTAACGAGTTGCGTTCCTCCGGTTTTCAAACGTTTCGCGCACTCGAGCTCAGTCGCGTTCCAAGTCACAGTCCCGTCGTTGTCACCACTGCTCGGTGTGTAACCGTTCTTCGAAAAGCCTGGATACAGAGTGCCGAACTCTTGGCAGTACGTCTTCAGTCCTTGTTTCAGCGCGTCACCCTTCAGGTAGATCGCTGCCTCCGCTGTTTTGTCTGTTCGAGACGTCACTGACTCTTGTGCGCTCTGAGGAAGCTTCCCACTCTCCAAGGGAGTCACTCAACCCATCGGCGTGCGACTGTACATGCGCATGCCCCCAGAGATGGACGAGAACCACCCTGACTCCGTCCTTCTATTGCACATGAGCCTATACGGAGCCAAACAGAGCGGACGAAATTGGTTCCAGGAGGCGTCAAGAATCCTCTGCGATGAATTACACTACGATCAGTTGCAGAAAGACCCATGCAAGTTCGTAAAGTGCAACGCCGACGGATCACTACGCGAATCCATCTTACTCTACGTAGATGACTTCCTCTTCCTGGGAGAATTACAATATTTCAACGCATTCATGGACAGCATGAGTAAGCACGTGGAGATATCGGCAGGTCAGCGGAGCCGCGACGTCATCAAGATTTGGAATGGACTCGAGATTCGAAGACTTCAAGACGGCAAGATAGTCGTGACTCAAATCGCCAAGATACGAGGGATTTCACGTGATTTCGGTGCGGAGATCGAGGAACTTGAGAGGCGATCATCCGCCAAAGCGACGAGCCCGGAATATTCGAACGAGAACAACTTCGACCCACGAGATATGATTGACCCGAAGAAGACGGCCGACGCCCGCGAAAAGCGTATCGTCCAAAAATATCAGGAAATGGTCGGGTCGCTCATGTACGTAGCGACGTACACACGGTTCGACATTGCGTTCGCGATGAGCAAAGCTTCCAGACTCATGCACGCGGCATCAGAAAAACACATTCGTGGTGCAGCGCGCATCATCAAGTATTTGAGGGGCAACGAGAATGTCCCGCTCGTCTTCGACGGCAGTCAGTGCGCGAACGACGGCGAGCCGAAGATATTCTGCTCCGTCTACAGTGACTTTGGCGGTGAACCACTTCACACCAAGAATGAACTCGACATGGGCAGAAGGTCAACGAGCGCGTGCATCATCATGTGCAGCGGAGCACCTATTTTCTGGAAAAGTAAAGTTCAGAAGAAAGTGGCGCTCGCGTCCGGCGAAGCCGAGTTCCGCGCACTAAGCTACGCACTCAAGGAAGTGACTTTCTGCATTTATTTACTACGCGAAATGGGATTCAATACGAAGTACGTACCCATTTTTTGTGATGCTTCAGTGGGCGTTGCTCAAGCGAAGCGCGATGGTCTCTCCTGGGTAGAAGGTACCAAACAGTACGAAATTGAACTTTCGGCGGCATACCAAATGTGCAGAGAAGGAATGATCATGCCTCTCAAGATCGGCACAGATGAGAACCCAGCTGATCTCCTGACGAAGTCGGACCCCGGAGGACCAGAAGTCAGAGCTCGGCACGTTACCAGGATCTCAGGCACGTCGAAGGAACCGTTTCAATCCTGGATCAGGCGACAATTAGCCGACTTTCAGGGATCGTCGGTGTCGCGACACGGGCACGTGTCAAAATCAGATTTCGAGCGCATGTGCGGACTCGGAAATTACAAGACAGTACAAACGAATAAGAAGTAATCGAGGAGAATTTTTACACGGTCGTAAAACGATCACAATTTTTATCTCACTCAAGGATCAGCACAGAATCGGCATCTTCAGAACCCGTTGGGAGGCGTGATGGAAAGGCTCGGCTCTTTCCTATCGTCAAATTAGTTTTCAAAGTACACGCCGGACGATATAATAAGTTCTGGTTCATACGAAACGAAGTTCCCTTCATGCGATTGTTCGAGAAAGTGCTGATTGTGGACAGTGATATAAGCTTAGTGGGGTTTCCTGTGCGTGATTTTTTCGATCTAACTTCGGGTGTGGTGATTTCAGCCCCTCTACGTAGATCGAAGCGAGACGGTCTTCTGACAAATCATAGACTTACACCGCGCCAGTGGTTTGCTGCGTTCTCTGGTGGAGGTTGGGAGTATAAAATTGATGACAACGCTTTTGAAGTACCATTTATTGAAATGTTCTGTGTTTTCATGGATACTTCGTTTGCTCACTGGTATTTTAGCATCGTATTAGATGAGAAGTACTTTCATCCATCCTATGGACTCAGTCAAACCAGGTTATCATCTGATTTCGGCCCGGATATAATGTGGTGCGGAGCAGCTCAAGAGTGGATCAAACGTGTTACGGAAACATATCGAGTCCCATGTATGTTGACGTCACTTGTCGTTGAGCATCTGGATGAAAGGCAAATAGAAGGGCAGTCGGCCGATGCTGTCAATGATAAGGGCAGCATTTCTCGCATGGAACAAGCGCCTCTAAAGGCATACGGCGACAACTTTCCAGAGTGGTTTGATTTTTCTACAGCATTTAGGAAACGAATTGGCGGCTTGCGACGCTTTGATAGCGCTTTTTTGAACTACATGAAGCAGTATCGGCACGTTTCCATCACCAGATGTCTCGACTGACAGTATTAATTCCTGAATCATGGATTACAGTCGCTGTGAATTCCAACATTTTTTCATAGCTGAGTTGCACCTTCGCCTCGTCGCCGCGGCTCGTCGCAACCCCGGTCGCCTTGCTGCAAGACGTGAACTTCGTGCACGAGATGGCCGCAGTACGAGGAGTAGCGTACGGCATCACTCTCACGGACGAGGCAACTAATTGCGGATGTATTTCATGTATTCAACTGATCCGTGCCACACGTAACCGTCTTTGAGTTAATTCACGGTGAGAGTTCCGCGGTTACAGACTAGACTAACATGTTCAACAACGCAACGGCTTGGAACAGTGTCTACTCTCGATCCCCGTACTCACCGTCAGGCGACTGGCCGCCGTCTGCGTGGGCGTAACATTATGTAATACGAAACGGGTCATACCAGTGAAGATGTAATGTGTTCATGAGTTGCGCTTTCCTTGTGTCTTGAGCGTTCTCGTGACCGCTCGAACGATTTCCAGGTGCATCCAGCTGCAAAACTAATTTTCCTTTTCCGCCTCTTCAGCGTCTTGCTGCATCTTCCCCCGCTGGTAGATGAAGAACCCAAACAACGACATGGCGTACCCGATGAGCTGAACGGCTGTCACGGGATTACCGAATAGAATCACCGCGAGGAGTATCACCGCTGCGTTCTTTGCCTGACCCATAACTTTGTACGTCAACCCGCTCGTCGCCTTGATCACCCCGAGCGTGAGAATATTCGCCCCGAAACCCATGAATGCCGCGACTAAGAAATAGTGCGGCGCCGCGGCGATGATCTCCCATCCCCTCTCTCGCACGAACTGAATCAACTCGAGCGTTACGATGCCCAAACCGAGAAACGCCAGTGACGCCGGCGCCGTCACGTAGAGCCCCTCCATCAAATCAAACTTCAAATTTCCCAAAACGTACTGATAAAACGCCATTCTAATCGCCTCTGCAAACGCGCTCGTCATCATCATCAACACCCCGATCGCGCTGCACTTGACCTCTCCGTACGCCGCTATGAACGTCCCAATCGTCACCACCGCCACGCCCGTGAGCGTCGTCCCGTGCAGTCGTTCCAATCCCGCCGCGTACATCACCGCCATCGTCACCGCCGGCACCGCGCTTTTCAACATCTGAATGAAGCTCACACTTAGGTACAGGTACACATAGTTTCCGAATCCCAGCGACGCCGCGCCGAGGCAACCGATCGGAAGAATGTGTCTCGCGTACCACCCGCGCGTAATCAACCCAGCGTGTTTCCGCTTCACCCGCCCAGTGGTGATGCATAGGAATGAGATCAACCAAGAGGATGTCATGCCCATCGAGCACAGGATCATCGGATACGAGAAGCCGTGCTCGCGAAGGAGGTGGTTGTTGAGAAAGATCAGCGCGGAGCTGGTGCACGCCCAGGCGATAGATAGGATGACCCGCTCGCGCGATATTCACGCTCTGAGACACTCGCACATCGAGGACGGTGTCGGCGTCAATTGTGACTCCGGAATCGTCGTTCTCGGTTTCGGGCATGTGCTCGAGAGTGAGGGGTCGGCTCCCTGACTAGCTTGGTGGTATCACGACGAGTGGGTCGTGATACTGGGGGTGGACCACTTAGCATGAGACGTAGAGCACCTATGGGTAGAACGTAGGGCACCTATGGGTAGAACGTGGGATGCCCATGGTAGAACGTAGCGGATACGTACTGTTTGCCCATGGGCGGACATCGACGACTCAAAAAACACTTAGGCTGAAAAAGAGATTGCTAAAACTCTAAAATTTTGGCAAATTTTAGAGAATTTTTTAGAGTTTTGGAGATTTTCCGACTCTAAAATTCAATTGGCAATCTCTATAATTCTACTAACGTTAGTATAATTTTTAGAGAAAAAGGGGCTCGTGACTCGTCGCGACGACGAGTCAATTTTAGAAAATAGCGGGTGAAAAAGAGATCCGTTGGACCGCGAGCCGAACCGGCATTCGTCGCCATGCAAACGCCGAGTGCGGAGCGCGCCGAAGCGCCGGACGCATTCGAATCGCAGTCCGACGCGACGGGAGACGATGTGCACGACCACGTGCCTCTGACCGCACTCGCGGACATCGCCGACACTAAACCCTATCTAAACCCTAACCCGCCTCAAAAAAGCTGTGGGGTCAGTCTTAAATGCCTAGGCCAACCAACCGCGCGCATGCACACTGTTTAATCATATGAACTTCAACCCACCACGTCGTGCACACCGCGATGTTCCACGCCAAACCCTGGACGTCGCTAGACGCGCATGGTCCGCGGCTTCCATCAAGCGAGCGAGCGCGCCGTTTCTCGCGCGCGTCCATCGTCGAGCGCCGATAGTCTTCTGTTCTTATTTTAGCAATCTCTTTTTCAGCCTTAGTCAAAATCCAAGATGATACTGACCCCCTCGACGTCACGAGTCATGAACCACCAAACAATTTCACTTCAAATTTTGCCCCGAGGCAAAATTTCGTTCGGGCGAGGCGATATTTGCCCAATTTCGCCTCGCGAAATCGGGAAAAGTGAAATTTGAAGTGAAATTTTGAGCGAAATTCTATATCTCCCCCGTGGTGAAATTTCGTCTTTTTTACGTGACGCCACCAAAATTTCGTTATTACCGGCTATCTCCCGGAAAAATTTATATCACACGGGTTCAGGGTTCTATCTCCCCCCCGGCCTAACTAATCCTCCATCTCCCCGTTGGCCTTACTGATATCCGATCACGAGTCGCAGGTGTTCAGCGCTGGACGCCTTTCGAAGGCGTCGACAGTCCGCATTTCGGGATCACTTCGTCGGCCTAACGAAACATTCACGCTTCCAACAGACAGCGTGGGATAGCGACCCCGGTGTACGCGACAGGCTTGACAGAACCCCAAATGCCGCATTTTGCGTTGGCGGAGCGAGTAGTTCGCACAAAAGTGCTTCGCGTGGTGTCGACTTTAACAATTTTTTATATGTCATCAGCAATGGTGATATCACACACCGTGTTGTCACCTTCGCTTCCCACCAACGTGATGACCAAATCATCTTGTACCGGCGTACTGATCCGACGAGCTAGAACAGAGCGCGTTTCGCGAGAATCTGGACTGGTTTTTGACATCAACGCAAACCTTTACCCAATCCGGGACGGCTCAAAATCGTTCTACATGTGCGCAGCACCCAAAACAGGCTGTTCACAGTGGATTATGTTGTTGAACTATCTATTGACCGGTCGAAAGTTCCACTCGGGCAATGTGCATCTTTCACAAGCGCGACAGGCAACTGTGCTCAACTTCACATCTGAGTCTACGTATGATACTCTGAATGACTTTAACGTTCCTCGAGTACTGGTGATGAGGGATCCATATGATCGCGTGGTTTCGTCATATCACGATTTTCTTCGAAGAAATACTGATAGTATTAAGCATAAAAATGTCACGTTCGAACATTTCGTGAAATACTTCGTCTCGCCAACTGCAGTCCGGCAATCCTGGGACAAGCAGCCACACGACCATCGCAGTCCCATCACGGCTGGTTGCAATATATGGGACAAGGACAAAAATACTTTCCTACTAGAATGGGACTTCATTCTCCGTCTTGAAGAAATGATCTTATGGTCGGAATGTTTACTGAACGAGCTTCAATTACAAAATATAGTTCGACGTGGATGGCGAACACCTACAGGACGGTTATTTAAAAAAGGAATTGATTTGTCCGCCAGCACAGAGAATAGCGAACTCGCCAAACGAATTATCAATCATCTTCCCTGGCCACATATGCGAGAAGTTATAGTCGGTCACGAATCTATCAACCAGCCCAGTAGAGAGCTGTACACTGCGGAAACAGTAGACATAGTGAACCAGGTTTTCAAGGTTGATTTCCAAGTGGGAGGCTATCCTCTGTGGGATGGAGTACTGTGACGGTGACGATTGAACGCACAATATTATATCCAGGAGCCCAATAAGCCACGCTATTCCGAATGTTGTGCGGACTCGGTACATTGACATAACAAGTCAGTACGCTAGCGTACCTTTTACGTCACTGAACGTATACACGAGCGGAGGATCCGCATGAAATATACGCGCGCGTTATGTTCACCACCGCGATACCGCCGCGCGCGTTACAGGCGCAACCTTTGGACTTTTTCAAACACTCCGCACTACCACGTCGACGACGTTCCCTGAATTTTTTCAAACGGAAATTTGCAACGCACCAGGAGCTGTCCAAGAAACGCAGGGAGCGCATCACTGGAGACGCTGGCCCTTACCAAGCTTGGCTTCTTGATAAGCTCAGCGCGTTTCAAGGGACTGAGCTGCCCCAAGAAGGATTCCTCTCAAGATCAGATCTGATTGCCTCCGCTGGAATTACAGTCTGATTGCTATAAGCAACCTCTATCCGCTCCCCACACGTCGTGGAGCCAATTTTGAAGCACGTCTCGGTCAAACTCTGCAGCGCGAAGTGAAAGAGTGTGACGGACGCTCGAGTCAAGGGGGTGTGACGAGATGGCCCAATCTCTATCTGAGGTATATGGGTATACTCGCCGTCCTTTGCGACTTCAGAGATACTACTAAATAAGGAATAATGATACAAATAGGTGAAATATGTGGACACTTCGGATTTTGACTCCCACCCTACAAGAAGAGTACCCCCCCAGGTCGAGTCATGACTTTACGTAGAAACTTGAGTCATGACTCAAGATGGAGTGTCCAGGGGGACGCCAGCTTGTGTTTTTACCTTGTACAAATTTCGGCAAGTTTTCGCAACACGCGACATGTGTGCGCGGATAACGCGCCGACGAGGCAGGGAGGACGTGCGTCGCGATGAATAGTTGTAAATACATGCATGTTACATCAGATTCATCCAGTTTCTGTGGCATACGACGGACATAGCGACGTCCTCACGCAGTTCCTCGCGCTCTGGTACTCCACCCCAAGCTCTCAAGAAACCACGTCTCAACCCTACCTAAACCATACCTAAACCCTACATAGGGTTTAGGTGTCTATTTCTCGCGAATGTTCTACGCGCACAAGCGCTCGACGTGTCGCTTTCATCCGCGTTACGGGCTTCGGAAAGGACTTTGAGCGCCTTGTGTTGTTCATCGTATCCACTTAACTGTGGTGTCAGCTTGTATTGCACGTGCTGTGCATGTGTCATCAACCCTAACTAGGGTTTGGTTAGGGTTTATCTAGGGTTTAGGCAGGATTCAAGGTGTCTCCTCACGGCTTTGTCAGAGTGAGGTTGTTCTGCCTTCTACATTCGATCTGAGCGATTTCTTCTCGTGCGAACGTCAGTGATCCGATAGTGTGTGATGGATACTACGTGTGGCAAAGCATGCGCACGTCTTCGCTGCCTCGTCGGCGCGTTATCCGCGCACACATGTCGCGTGTTGCGAAAACTTGCCGAAATTTGTACGAGGTAAAAACACAAGCTGGCGTCCCCCTGGACACTCCATCTTGAGTCATGACTCAAGTTTCTACGTAAAGTCATGACTCGACCTGGGGGGGTACTCTTCTTGTAGGGTGGGAGTCAAAATCCATTTTGTATGCACCTCGTCTTACATGTCCGCGTGTACATACATTGCTCACGCTTTTTGTTGTAATGTAAGCTAATAAAGATGTTCGAATACATGCAACGTGTACCTGAAAGGCAAATCTTTAACATCGTATGGTGACCCCGCGCCAGCGCTTACTTGTATGAAAAACATTTGCTAGAAATCGACGACACGCTCAAGTGCGTCGCAGCCGCAACGCCACTTGTTGGACTCGACCACTCAGGGACGAGGCTTGTGAAGACGAACAACTCATCAGCAAGTAATCGCACGCGAAAGGCTTTTCTCTCGCGCACCTCGAGGCCTCGAACCTCAGTCTTTTGGCATTCATTTCGATAGTGTTGGCGAGGTAGCTCGCCGGGCGCCAGGCCCTTCGCATTTGCATTCCTGAATTGCGGAAACACTACACAGCGAAACTGAATATAGCCATTGGCTGAGGGTAGCTGGATCAAATCACGATCTATGGGTGGTGCTCGTGATTCAAATCACGAAGTTTCGGGTCGTGATTTAGATCGTGATCGTGATTTTACCCAACCTAGTCGAATACATGCAACGTGTAACTGAAAGGCAAATCTTTAACATCGTATGGTGACCACGCGCCAGCGGCGCTGGCCCAGCGCTTACTTGTTTAACGAAATCCCTAACCGGAGATTAGTCAAAATCCATTTCCCCCACCCCTATAGGAAATTCCTGGTACACGTTTCAAGCATTCCTACTTCGCCGCAGAGTCAAACGCGCTTGCGCTGAACGTGCCCCAGTGACAGGCATGGCGGCGACACGCTAAACGTTCAACGAGAATGTCTCTGGAAGCTGGAGAGCCCGAAGGCGAGGGCGACGCGCGTAGATCCACGAGGTCCGAGACCGGTGGATATCAGGAGCAGGTTATCACCACGTTGACGTACAGTTTGTTGAGCAGTACTCTTAGCGTGGTGAACAAATACACACTTGATACGTTTCCTTTCCCCGCGTTTGTCCTAGCTGTTCAGCTCACGAGCACGGCGGCAGTCATATACGTGGGACGCGTGGTGCGGCTCGTCAACTTGAGTCTCGTCTCACGGAAGATCGTCCTCGGCTTTGTACCGTTGACGATGAGTTTCTTCGCTCTACTCGCCTCCAGGTTACTTCTGATGGCCACCTCTCCTTTCAACGTCTTTCTCATATGCAAATCCCTGACGCCCTTCTTCGTGAGTCTGTCAGAGACGCTTTATTTTGGTACGTCGTGGCCAACTCTACAGTCCTTCGTGGCCATGCTAGGCATGGCAATCGGTAGTGTGTTGTATACGAGATACGACGTGCAGGTAAGCGCGACGTGTTTGACGTACGCTGTGTTCTTCATTCTTTGTAGCGTGTTCGAAGGCGTGGTCGCGAAGCAAACTATTCAGAAGTTTACATTGAACCAGAATACGCGCACACTTCTCATGAACGCTTTGGCGTGTCCAATAGCGATCATATGGGCACTATGCATGGAGACGAAAGCGCTGACAGAAATCAAGTTGAATTCGACATTGTCCCTTGGGATATCGTGCGTGTTGGGTCTGGGTATGGGCATGGCGACGATGCACATGCGAACCATTTTTTCAGCCACCTACGTATCCGTCGTCGGGGTGTGTAACAAGTTTGTATCATTGGTTTTGGCCAATTTAGTACTCAGTGGCTCTCATAGTCTCCAGAGTACGCTGTCGACTGCGTTTGTGCTGCTGTGTGGTTCGTTCTACAATGGAAATAGTGCTAGTTCAACCGTTAGAACAAGGAACTGCGTTCCTGTGCTCCTACTCGTCGTGATATCACCGCTCGGTGCATGGAACTTAAGGACTCGAGTTCACATCAACGCCACAACACTACCGGCACTTGTATCAGACCATTCCCACAAAACCTGCCAGACTGCGGCGGATAACTGCGAAGGACCTTTTCTGTGGGATACCAGTACGCACCGCGAAGGCTTTGGTAGCAATTTGTTGAACTGGAGAATTGTTTCCCTACAATTGTCCGAAATTCTACGTTTCAGTTGGATTCCCAGTGAATTCATCAATTCGCACGACCGTGCTGACATAAGCACTTTCTTGGGTTTGAGCAGCCCGAATTGTAACTTTGGCTTGATCAAGGAACAAGTAACGAATGGGAGCTTGTTCGTGGCGAATATAACGGATATTTTGAACACTACCGGTACCACTAGTACCAGTGGTACTTGTAGTACAAGTGACGGTACGTGTACTACTAGTACTAACGTTAGTATTAGTACTTTCCGCCATTTAAAGTCGCTCAATTGTTCAGTTTACAAAGCGATGGCAGAGTCCGTCAACCGACAGATTTACAGACAGCACGTTTTCAAGTATGATGAACCCGATCGTATAGAGCGCAGTCAACTATACTCGCATCTTCACAGATGTATGGTCGAGATTCACGGCCAACAACTCAAGAGAGATGCTGCAAGTTATACAAGTACCCCTTCATTCGTACGTAGTAGTTACCTGTGCGCGCGAAATCGCCGTTTGGCTGCTTCAGGCCGTTTGAAGAAAAGTAACGAGTACAGAATCTCCCTATATTTTCGCTGGGGAGATGTCAGAGGTGACTTGAAAAACGTAAAAACGTATAATAAACGGACTGGCGCAGTTCCTTTTGGCACGTTGACTCGCTATACTGAACAGATACAAAATATAGTTTCACACGTTCTACAAACGCGTACTGATCGTTTCCAAACGTTGGGCGGTCACATTGAAAATCGGACGGTGTTTTTCTTTTCCGAAGGTACTGAAAGCGAATTTGCCACGTTCTTTTCTAAAGACCTCCTTAACATTACCTCTTTCCAAATTGGTGGCTCTTGGATGGACGCAGTGGACTACATGACACAGTCAAACATCATCTTAGTCGGTACAAAGAGTGAAACGTTCATCTCTGCTATCGGAAAGCTGTGCGATTATTGCAAGGTTATTGATGTTCGTGGAGGTATTTAAGCCGACTTATTCGTAGTACCGGACCGGTAGATCCGGCAGTATAGATATCGGGTCATTACGTGTAACACATGGTGTCTCATCGACATCAAGTGCGAGAGCGCGGCGCACGAGACGACGCAAGCGACAGCGTCCATCATGCTTGTCCTCGTCGGCGTCGGCATGCCCCTGTAACAAGCACGACGATCGAGTATTGATCCCAGTGCTGCGCGTGTGCGATGTGTTCATGTCCAGAGGCGTCGTCGATGGTTCGAGTGTACCAATGGAACTCATCGACGCCGTTCGCGCCGAGTTATACTCAAGTCGCGGCTCCGCGGACCTGCCGATATCTCGACGTGCTTACTCACGCTGAAAATTAGCCCATTTTCCCGATTTCGCGTCACCTAAGGCCGAGGGGGAGATAGCTAGCCGGTAATAACGAAATTTTGGTGGCGTCAAGTAAAAAAAACGAAATTTCACCACGGGGGAGATAGAATTTCGCTCAAAATTTCACTTGAAATTCCACTTTTCCCGATTTCGCGAGGCGAAATTGGGCAAATATCGCCTCGCCCGAACGAAATTTTGCCCCGGGGCAAAATTTGAAGTGAAATTTTGAGGTGGTTCATGACTCGTGACGTCGAGGGGGTCAGTATCGTCCCGAATATCGTCGCGCATCTCCCCCGTGGTGAAATTTAAAAACGAAAACTCGTGCCCGACACTCCATCGCGCGCCATGGCGCACGCGCCGCACCCGCACGCCTCAGACGCGGCCGCTCTGGGGTCGGCGCACGTCGCCGTAGACGAAGCGGAGTACGCGGGTGCTCGCGAGTCGCTCGCGTCGCAGGACACTGCCGCGGGCGGGCGGCGGAAGAGCGGCATCCCTCGTGGTCCGAGCTGGACTCCTTTTGAACAACTTGCCGCGCTCGACGCATACTTCAGCGCGTGCGAAGTCGTGCAAGAGAGTAGGGAGGTCGATCGATGGCAACACGCTAACAAGCAGTACCCCCATTACGTTCGGGAGCTCGCCGCGTTGGGTCTGTGGAAACCATCGACGACCGCGGGCGGCGCGAGGACGCCTGAGGAATCCATTGAGGCACGCCGGTGCGAAGAAGTCAACGAACACGGTGTCGTCGGAGCGAACAAGACTGTGTTCGAACGTGGAAAGGCTGTGAAGGCACACGTGCTCAAAGTTGCGCACATTTTCCGACGTGGTTTCAGAGCGTGCGGAAACCAACAAGGCGAGTCTGGAAAAGCCCGTCGGGACTTTTGGGACAAGCAAGAGAACGAAGCTTTGAAAGAAAAACATTCAGAAGCGACCCTTGTGGTATTCAGGTACGTGGCGCCAGACTCCCCGTATCTTGATCCCGCTGCGTACAGGACGCTGAAAGAACGGGCGAGACCGGAGTTCGCGCTAAGACACGAAGACAGGTGCACTTCGGCTGCGAACACTGCCAGTCGGTTACTAATGTTTCCGTTCCTAAGATTCTCTATGACCATTCACAGTGCTGGTTCCACGTTCCTATGAAGTCAGCGGTCACTGCAGTGCTACAATTTTTGCTGAACCAACGTGGTATGAAGGATGAATTCAGAGGAACCCTGAAAATAAATAAAAGCAGCTGCACAAGCCGTTGAGCATCAAACAGATTTACTATGAGGGGTGCATGACCGCTGTTTTGCTTCAGCTTTAAGTCTTTCATCAAAGTACCACCGAACACACTTCTATCAAAAAGGTGCAGTTTAGTAATACCTACTTCCCGTTTTAGGTGTATGATTCGGGCAACAGCGTCGTCAAAGAGGTGTTGCCTAAAACTGAGAGATGACCCGTATATGATGTCAGACCCTGTTTTTTCTTGTAAGTTGCCAATGAGCGACGTGACGGATTCGGTTGTTGTAATATTAGTTTCACCATGGGAAAACCACGCACCCAAATTCAAGTAAAAAATGTCAGGGAAAGATTCATTATCTAGCTCAGTCCAGTACCGCAAGGCACTCACAAATTGACCGTCAGGTCCCGCGAAGCCGAAAGAAACTCTAAGGTTATAGTCGAATACATTTTCGAGCAAATCTGTCTTGTTGGAATGCCCCCCTCGAGCGTAATGCTTTTGATTTTGAAGGACTCCATCTTGAGAAGTGCAGAACTGATAATCTATGTGCTGCATTCTTGCAAGGTTGAATATGTTCACCCCAGGACACGTTTGTTGGGACGCCTCATCCCAACAATCATATGCCTTAGCAAACATCTCGCTCGTCACCGCCGCTCGCAGTGGCGAGTATAAGAACCGCAGCAAGCCCAAAACCAGCCCCCTTGTGTCACTGTCCCCAATGAAGTGAACCCAAAGTTTCTTATTTTTGCTTTCATCAACGAGAGTGGAGATATGTCGCGGTGCATCCACAAAGTGAAGCACGCAGCCGTCTATGCCATAGAAAGTAGAGTTGATGACCATTCCTACGACTTCATTCGGTGAACAGATGTGTGGTTTGTGAGGTGAACTACGATCTAAGCCTAGTGAGAAAGCGTTCGAATAGATAGTTCGATGGGACGACTGCACGAGCACAAAGAACGCCGTCATCAGACAAAGGACATGAGTCGTTTTCAGACGATAGAGGTACGTGTCTTTGTTCACTTTCAGGGCTTCAACTTGCTGGACGACATCGTCCGTCGTCATTCGCCTCACACCACAGGCTACGTGCGAAGACGTTCGTCATCGTCATCGTCAGTCGTTCGGAGATTCGAAACTCGCCCACGAGCGTGACGTACCCAACGTTGGGCGTGTGTGAGTGTCGCCGAGAGAACGAGCAGAAGCCAACAGCCCGTCGCTCGGGAAGTTGCACCACGGGCTTTCCTCGTTCCGCGTGGTGTGAGGCAGAACAGATGTGCGTCTCCGCAGTTTTTTTAGGCGGAAAAATTTACAAGTACCTAAGCCCTACCGGTACCATTATTTTTCGTCGCGCGCCCCCAGGTAGCGAATGTAAAGGCGGCACAACACACGATATCGTTACTTCTCATCGAGCGCACAAAAACGTGCTCGACTTCATTAACGAACTTGCAGCCAACATTGATTTGAGTGCGATGAAAGCCGCTCCCGACGATGGTGAGTACGTCGCCACCCTTCGACGCAGTCGGCTCGATGGATTTAGGCGCCTTGCGATATGTTGCCGCCGTTAGGACTCGCGCCCAATTCGGAAGCGGACAAAAGAACGGATTCCGTCCGAATTTAAACCTCTGTGGCACCCCGCAGGACGATTTCCATAACCAGGCAGCGTCGGAATGGACTTTGTCGACGCGCTGTAAAACGCGCTCGGAAGCACGCCCGTGAAAGAATTTCTGGTAAAATCCAAGAGTTCGAGGTGATCGCGACGTATAAGCCATTCTGGGATCTCGCCACAAAACCCATTGTCCTGAACTTCGAGTTTTCGCATAAACTTCGGCGCCGCTAACGAGGGCGGAAGCTCTCCTGTGAACGCGTTTCCGCTCAAGTTGACGTGCACTAAGCGCGACATTCGCGCCCTGCGCGTCAAGTACATGCGCGGTGCACGCACGGGATCCGCGTGCACCGGGCGACATCGAAAGATGAAGTCATCGCGTCAACGCTTCCTTCTTCGTAAGAGCAGCAGGCGGAGGAAGCAACGCTGGCGCTGTACGAGCGCGGTAACCGCGCATAGTGCTGCATACGTCCTGTTCACATGCATCGTCAGTGTGCGATCGACTCGCGCGATGCGTTGTGCCGCCGACGAACATACGAACGTCCGGGAACGGCTTGTGTTTAAAACAACTTCAAAGATTCCCTTTCCTCATTCTTGCCCGCGTCGCGCCGACGCACGTCTACGCGCCTATACGTCCAGGGGCACGACGGTTGAAAACATCGTCAGAACGTCTTGAGCCTCGCGAACGGCTCGATCGCGATTCCGACGTACGACTCGCGCGTCATCTTTCGCGTCAGAGCGAGCACGTTTTGACTCGCGCGAAGTGCGCGCCCTGGATGCGCGCGTTGCGCGCGTGCGCACGATCCGCGGCGCGGAGTGCGTCAGACGAACGTTCTCCTTCGCTTCCGCATTCGGTGAAGGGCGAAAAAACTCGACGCGCGCGCGTGGGAGTGCGAGCGGTTCGGTACATGTCCCAACCATCCCTTCCCAAAAACCAGTACCGAGTCGACCGAATTTGAATTTTCATCACAAATTTCACCCCCCATCTCCCCCGTTGCGATAATTACGCCTATCCGGACAGAATTACCGAAACGAAAATCAAAGTGAAATTATCGTTTCACAATCTATCTCCCCCCCGGCCTAAAATTTAGGCTGAAGAAGAGATTGCTAAAATTCTATTCTACTAACGTTAGTATAAAATTCTATTACCTTGAACAAATTTCGGCAAGTTTTCGCAACACGCGACATGTGTGCGCGGATAACGCGCCGACGAGGCAGGGAGGACGCGCGCATGCTTCGCCACACGTAGTATCCATCACACACTATCGGATCACTGACGTTCTCACGAGAAGAAATCGCGCAGTCGAATGTAGAAGGTAGAACAACCTCACTCTGACAGAGCCGTGAGGAGACACCTTGAATCCTGCCCAAACCCTAGATAAACCCTAACCAAACCCTAGTTAGGGTTGATGACACATGCACAGCACGTGCAATACAAGCTGACACCACAGTTAAGTGGATACGATGAACAACACAAGGCGCTCAAAGTCCTTTCCGAAGCCCGTAACGCGGATGAAAGCGACACGTCGAGCGCTTGTGCGCGTAGAACATTCGCGAGAAATAGACACCTAAACCCTATGTAGGGTTTAGGTATGGTTTAGGTAGGGTTGAGACGTGGTTTCTTGAGAGCTTGGCGTGGAGTACCAGAGCGCAAGGAACTGCGTGAGGACGTCGCTATGTCCGTCGTATGCCACAGAAACTGGATGAATCTGATGTAACATGCATGTATTTACAACTGTTCATCGCGATGCACGTTCTCGCTGCCTCGTCGGCGCGTTATCCGCGCACACATGTCGCGTGTTGCGAAAACTTGCCGAAATTTGTTCAAGGTAAAACACAAGTTGGAGTACACCGATCATACTGTTTACCCATACATGACGTGACCGATTATGACAGCCTCAGACTCAAGAAAAGGTGTGCACAACCATGACGATTAGTCAAAATCCTCTAAAGGGGCGTTAGTAAGAATTTTTCCTACAACCGGTACCGGTACGCTCATAAATCTTTGGATTGGATTCAATCTCTTTTTCAGCCTCAGAAAAAGCCGTGAAGGTCGCGCTTACTGACGCCACTGCCCTCAAGCCACAAGGCCCTCCTCACTTGACACGAAGTTTAAGCCATCCCTCGCGATGACCGACGTGGGAGAAGATAACCGTCCGGACGCCGCGATGGTGAACACGCGCGCCACCGCCCTCCCCAGCGAGCACATTGTTCAGAGAGACTCGTGCGTGATGACCGGCGCAACGGATTTCGAACCGCTTTTGACGCTGCGAGACTTCCCCGTTGGCATGTACTGCGTCCCAGAGGACTGGGAAGGGACTGAATACTTTACAGACATGCACTGGTCCATCTGTAAGAGCTCTGGTGTCATTCAGCTCACTCGACTGATCGAGTTGACGACTTTGTATGACTGCCAACACGAATCCGGCGCCATCGGAGGACTGTGGAAGCGACACCACGAAGAATTTTGCAACTTTATCGACGAATTCGGTTCCAGAGCCATTTTGGAGATCGGGGGAGGGCACGGACACCTAGCCAAGATGTTCACGGAGAGACACGCAGAACAGTGCGAGTGGATCATGGTGGAGCCGAATTTACCAGATTGGCTAGCAAACGGTGAACATTCGAGTCAAATTCGTCCGATCAAGGCGTGGTTTGGGGATGAGCTTGAGTTGCCTGCTAGCGCGCCGAAAATCGACGCCGTTGTGCACTCGCATACGCTTGAACACTTGTATAATTACGATAATTTTCTTCGCACGGTGGCGAGGATGGAACCCAAGTATCAAATTTTTTCGGTGCCATACCAACAGGAGTGGTTGCGACGCGGCTGGCTTAACAGCATCATGTTTGAACATCCACAAATGTTGACGCCGAAATCCATCGAGTACATTATGGCGCGACATGGCTTTTCGTTGGAAAAGAAGCAAATCTTCGCTGATTGTCATTCATTGTTCTACGCCTTCTCTCACAAGGGTAAAGACAGCGCCACGGTGCCAAAACTTGAACTCAACGAGTACCACGAGAACAAGCTGTTGTTCCAAAACTGGCTCAAGACAAACGTAGACTTCGTCCAGCGTGTCAACGCGCGCATTGACAAGGCGCTAAAGACAGAGAAAGAACCGAGCGTCTACATCTTTGGCGCGCACATTTTCACGCAATATTTGGTAAGTTTCGGTCTGCGCGCCTCTGTTGTGTCCGCGATCTTGGATAACGCCACCGGTAAGCAAGGCAAGCTTCTGTATGGGTTGCCATTAATGGTGTACTCGCCAAAGATACTTGTTGACAAGAAGCAACCCATCATTATTTTATGTGTCGGTGCGTACGCCGAGGAGATCAAGCGCGGTATTCTCGAGGTGAACGCGAACGCAGTCTTTTTGGAGTGAACATTTGGAATATCATAACCGGTATCTCTTTGCGAAAACATCGGAGCGATGTTACGTCGCATATAAGTGCCTTCGTCCTACCCCGCAAGCGCGCGGAGCTTTTCTTCAAGAACTCAAAAACTTTACGTCTTACAACTTCACGAATTCGTACCGAAACTTACTGAATACGAAGTGACAAAAGCGAACACCGATATCTTCGATGCCTTTCGGAACGATAGACATCGTGGAAACTCTCGCTAGCACTCTTAAACTTGCCGTCACGTGTAACTTTCTTGTGAATTTAAAAGACGCGGTGGGCACGAAGTTCACCATGGTGGACATGCTCAGGTTTGATAGCAAGATTAGCACCTTCGATCATACAAGTTGTCATACTCCTATCGAAGAGGTTGATTAAACGAGAATGACATTAAACTTTGTAGTGCGTCCAGTTTGAGTCGTAAAGATGCGTGAACGCGTTCGCGAGCCTGATGATGTATAGGAACGGAAAGTTGGGTTCGCTCAGTTTGCTGGCATCGATGCAACCAAACCATACCGCCACGAAAAGTGGGAAAGTCGCCAAGGCGCAGCTCACCTGCACGCGCCGTTCGCTCTTTGCTACCTGGATGTCGTCGAGCTTTTGCCTTTCTTCATAGTACGCGCTTATGAGAGGTTCAGCCAACGACTCGAAACTTGATATTTCGCAGCTTTCAACGAGAAGAAAGACAATATCTTCGACGCCTTGTCCGGGTCCTGCGTATTGCCAATCAATAAATATCGGTTCACCGCCGTTGACACCGTAATCCCAGAACAAGTTTGGAAACTTCAAGTCACCGTGGAGCAAGGTGCAGGGTTTTCTCAACAACTGTGCTTCGGCGTCCTCGTAAAATTTGGCAGCATGATCAAAAAGTTCCATCGTTTCTCCTGACAACGTGCCTGACCAACGCGCTTTGAAGCGTTGATAGTTTCTGTGGACGTGCTGTTTCATGTACGCGGAGTGCTCTGATAGTTTTCCCAAGTTCATGCCTTGAAAGTGCGAATGCAGGGTCGCAATGGCTTGCACTACTTTTAGACCGCTCACAAGCGTGAACTCCGGCGCTCTGTTGTATTTGCGCAAGTCTTCCATGACGATAGCTTTACTATCGGATAGTACTCCATAGTAAGTCGGTATTCGTACCGGGGCCATACTCGAGAATGTCCTATAAAATTCACACTCGGTCATATGCAACGCCAACTGCTCGCTGACATCCTGTAAGACACCGTGATCACTATTTTCTTGTTTTACGACGAGTTTACGCGCACCACAGCTCGCCGACAGGACTTCAGAGATGTACCCTCCGCTTGCGCGAACGGGATGCACAATAGAGCGCTGTCCAAACATTTCCGTCAGTTCGTCTGAAAGTTGCGCCACGGATTCGAGATGCTGAATGATTTCGTTCGGTTCGATGTCAGCGTAATTTTCATAAAACGCATCGCAGCCACTCACATTATTCGATATAGCAATGACGAAACCCACACCGGCAGCTCGGGCAGAAGTGGTTCCACTCTTGGAGTCTTCAAATACAACACAGTTTCTGGGCGAAACACCGAGCGTGAGCATGGCTTTGGCGTATGGTTCGGGATTTGGTTTGCCGTGTTTCACGTCACTCGCTGTCAAAAGTGGAACGTCCCCCAGGCCGATACAATCCAACAAAGCGTCGGCGGCGCGTTTGTTCGAATTGGTCACGACGTACACGGGACCAATCTCTTGACACTTTCTGACGAAATCCACCGCACCAGGAATCGCTTCAACACAAGTCAAGTGCTTCAAAAACTCTTCATCTTTCTCTTCAGACGAAATCGCAATTTTAAATTTTTCCCGAACTTGTTCGTCGGCGAGTCCACTGATGTGCGTGTTGAAGAAATCGGCGTCGACTAGCGCGCCTTTCGGCGCAAGTAGCGAGTGCCATGCGCGAACGTACGCGGCAGTCGTATCCACCAACGTACCATCGAGATCAAACAAAAACGCGCGTCCTTGTGTGCTTAAATAGTGTTCCAGACAATCTGGAGTGCCGATGTTTGAATACTCGTCTTCATTAATGATCACCGCTCGCACGGTTTTGTTTTGCCTCAAATATTCGTCGATCACGCACGAAACGTACGCTTCGCCGTGCTGAAATTGTCTTCCTTCGATGACGATCTGTGTTAACTTTACGAACTCGGTAGAGCTGGCAAACCAATAAGCGCCGGTGTTCGCGAGTGGGCCGACTCTGACTTTTTCCGCGATTTTCATCACGTCGCTCTTCTCATCAACCGCGACATAAGAGTACTTGGGTTTGGAGCGAAGCGCTGAGGCGTCTTCGTGGAACGACAAGACCGCCGCGCGGACATCGGTGTGTGCCTCGAGCGCGCGGAATCTTCCGAGAATATCGCTGTGGTATATGGCATCGCAGTCCACCAATAGCATGGGAACGTCTTCGCCCTCTCGCGCCTGGAGTGCGAGCAGTACGGTTTCCGCAGCTCCGAGGGTTTCGCGATCAAGTTCGACGACCGCGTGGTTGATGTCTTTCGCGTCAAAGTTGACGATAACGACGTGTTCGTCGAGCGTATCGTGCACGTTCAACGCCCGCATGACGCAGTCGATCATCGGTTCACCGTGCACTTTGATGAGCGGCTTTATCGTGTCGTAGCCCGCAGCGCGAAAGCGCTCGCCTTTACCACACGCCGGTATGACGATCCTCATCGTGGCTCACAACTCGACGCGCGATGAAACTCTCGATGGTGCGCGAAATGCGTATCGATGTGACCACCGCGCCGCTGTCGAACTATAGGTTGGTGGCATCACGATCTATGAGTCGTGATGCTGATGCGCATCACGATGTCGGGATTTTGACTCATCTCGGTCATGGTTGTGCACACCTTTCTTGAGGTCATAATCGGTCACGTCATGTATGGGTAAACAGTATGGCGGGGGGGTTACTCCAACTTGTGTTTTACCTTGTACAAATATCGGCAAGTTTTCGCAACACGCGACATGTGTGCGCGGATAACGCGCCGACGAGGCAGCGAGAACGTGCATCGCGATGAACAGTTGTAAATACATGCATGTTACATCAGATTCATCCAGTTTCTGTGGCGTACGACGGACATAGCGACGTCCTCACGTAGTTCCTCGCGCTCTGGTACTCCACCCCAAGCTCTCAAGAAACCATGTCTAAACCATGTCTAAACCCTACCTAGGGTTTAGGTGTCTTTTTCTCGCGAGTGTTCTACGCGTACAGGCGCTCGACGTGTCACTTTCATCCGCGTTTCGGGCTTCAGAAAAGACTTTGAACGCCTTGTGTTGTTCATCGTATCCACTTAACTGTGGTGTCAGCGCGTATTGCACGTGCTGTGCATGTGTCATCATGATCGATAGGCGGCTGTCCTTGTCAAAATGCTCAGTCCCGGGGGTCGACCTTGACCCCTATTCCGGTACCTCCTAAGCCTATTCGACCAGCCCGCGGCGCGCCTGCACAGACGCCGCTCGATTACTCCTGTGTGTAATACTTATACGTTCTTTTGGACTATCACAATCGACTACGAGAGCGATAGCAACTCGGCTACGCGGGCGCGCGGTTTGCCAAGGCGTGCGCGTTGCTTGTCGACTACTTGTCGACCGCGACGCTTGGATCAAAGGGTCACAGGACGATTCCTGAATCGTCCATCTTGTGGTCCCTTTACTGCTCTCCGATCAGGACTCATTCGTCATCCAAATGATCTTGTCCTGCTCGCGCGACGCGTGTTTGCCTTTACTATCATTCTCCATATTTAGAGCCCTTTGAAGATAGGAAAGAGCCGAGCCTTTCCATCACGCCTCCCAACGGGTTCTGAAGATGCCAATTCTGTGCTGATCCTTGAGTGAGATAAAAATTGTGATCGCCTTACGACCATGTGAAAATTCTCCTCGATTACTTCTTATTCGTTTGTACTGTCTTGTAA